GGGATTTGAACTCAAACTGTAATCCATTATGACAAAGCCACATATTAGGTAACAAATTGATGTTGCAAGTGGTAGCGAAAAAAAGTCTGGGAAAACATTAATTATGAGATTTCTTATGTGCGAAGGGCCATAACTCCAGCAACAAATGAAATATTGACACAGGGTTTGGACTCTAACTGTAATCCATTATGATAAAGCCGCATACTAAGTGGCAAGTGGTAACGAACAAAGTATGGCAAACAGTTAATTATGAGAACTTCCAATGTGTGAAGGGCCATACATGTAACTCCAGCAAAAAAATAAAATATTAGCATGTGATTCAAACTTAATCTAATCTGTAATCTATTATGATTAAGCCACATACAAAGTTACAAATTGATATGGTAAATGGTGGCCAAACAAAGTCTGGAAAACTTAAATGTGACTGCCGCCGCAAATGACAATGTGTGATGACGGACAGACTGATCCTTAAGTTTTCGCCATGCTTCTCAGGCGGCACAACCAAGGAAAGGCAGAACAGTGAAGAAAGAAAGGAAAGATTTAAGATCCCAAGTGTGTTGCAATGGGGGCAGAAGATCTATTTTGGTCTGTTCAATGTCCCCCAAGTAGTAGACATGAAAGAAAATCCCCGATTCTTCAGGGGGTGAACTTTTAGTCCCCCCCCCTCCTCCCCCATGTACATTGTATGTAAATTATGTTTTGACAGATTCGATGACTCGAGTAGAAAATTGTTTGAATCATGTAATCTTGAAAAAGAAAGTAAAGGGACATAACTCTTCAAGTAGACTCCAATTTAAGTAATTTGTGCTGATCTGACAGATCTGTCAATTCAAGATCTATCTGTACACCAAATTCAAGAAGAATTACACATTATCATATGTTTTGCATGTCTGAAATTGTTTGACATTGTCAGGAAGAAAATCTACATTTTAAAGAAAAGTGGTAGCTATGGGAGCACCCTATATATGTTATAAACATAAAAATATTGGTACCTTGCAAAACAATAAGCAAATTTCGTAAAACCACCAATTCTCAAAAATCACCTTAACATGACATGTTTTATCTAAAAGGAAACTTGGTACTTACAGAAGTAACAAACTATATCCGATATATAACAGAAAAAAATGTGAGGAAATCATGTGAGGGACACAACTCACAGAAATATTATCCATAGGAAGACAATCAATCATAACCGCACAAATACTTAGAGTACATAGCAAGTGTTCCTAGTTTAAAACAGAGAGTATGAGTATTACTCGAAACAAATTTTAAAATTATATAAGAAATAATTCTCAGGGACACCATCTAAATGAAAATTAATTGATTGATATAACAGTCAAGATGCATTAAAAATCCTCCCCACATGGAAAGTAAA